GCACTCTGATAGTTGAGTCAAAGTGTCATCTGCAAAGCGTACGGCAACCCGTCGCTACTATCCCTCTGGCATGAAGTCGGACCCAGAAAAACCGGATTACAGAACTTTCACGATAAGTGCTGTTTTGGATGAGGAATATTGTAAGGGGAGGGTGGGACATGAGCCTCACGCTATGCAGTCTTTTTGATGATTTTAAACAGATAATCTGGCATTAAAATTAATTTCCAGTAAGTCACTCTTAAAATAAAAAGCAATAAAAGTACCCGGTTGATTGAAAGGATCATAATTCTGCTTCCCTGTAGAGCGTACGATTGCATCCTCGGTGCGTAGATCACGGCGACCCACTAACATTGACGTTAACCTTGATGTTATTTTAAAGTGCGTTTATTTTCCTTTTTGTATCACATGGTAGATCAAAAATGATTTATAGTTTTTATATATTTGCGTGATGTATTCAAATGACAAAAGATGTGAGTCCAACGCAAATATCATTTTGGTAGGAGAGTTTCGTCTCTTACAGGGACAAAATCGCAATAATTGGCTTTAATCATTATCCCGACATAAATGCAAAAGCGTGAAGTGATTGCGACTCAGCTGCGCGCTGCGGTACGTGATCTACGTATTCGTGGACTAAAGCAGGCTGCGCGATTTTCAGCGGAACTTTTGCTTGGATTGGGGGGCCTTACACACAGTACGCCGTCGTCTTCACCAAGGATATCTGCAGAGGTGGATGGCAAAAATGAGTGCTGGACTGAAGTGGATGGCGAAAATGAGTGCTGGGCAGAAACTGATCGCTTTGAAGCAGCAAAAGCCTGCTTTGATTTAGATGAATTTCTCCGTGCTCACCACATGCTTTCAAATACTGAAACATGTTCTGATAGTGGAAATTCAGACGAGCTATGTCATCTTTCAAAAAAGTCGTTTTTTCTCAAATATTTTGCGCTGTATCTGGTAAAGCTGGATTGTAGTTTGCACTAGACTATGCCAAGCTTGACAGTTTCCATTTGCCATTTTGAAGGCAGGAGAAAAAGCAAAGGAGGAAATGGATCTTGAGATGAATATAACTGGCAGAGGCAAAGGTCAGTTTTGGCTTTACCGTCAGTGAAACGATCCATAATACAGATTGTAATTTTTATCAGAAATTGACCGCAACATGCACCGCCAGGGCTCAAATCCTTATTTAAAAGAGCTGTATTTGGCACTCAGCACGGCATATCAGCAGAACACGCTTGATGGGTTTGGCCTCTACCTGTATGCTGTCGTTCTTAAACGTCTTGGCTACACCACCTGCACAGGAAGCACCAAAGCTCAATCATCGACACCGGTCAGTATGAAAAGCAGCTATCGTGCAGATTTCGCCAAAGAGCAGAAGCGACAGCAACTGCATGTTTTCAACAGTAGTCATAAAACAAGCAAAAGCGAATCGAAAATCAACACTGCGACGTTCGACGTTACAACGCGATTTATTCTAGTTGAGTCTATCCGGCGTTATCCTTGGAATTGGTCAGCTTGGATGGAGCTAGCAGCTCACTCTCCCTTCATATCCAGCGTACGTTGCAGTGGGATGATATACTTTGGTATAAAATTTACTTGATTATTTTCTGGCAGGAAGAAGAAGTCATTCTTGCAACGAGTTGTCCGTGGATGTTTCAATTATTTCAGGCGCACGTCCTTCTTGATCAACAGCAGAATGATGCGGCACGCGCACTGCTCACGAACTTAGAGGAACAATTTCCAAAAAGTACTTACCTTCTGTCTCAGCAAGCACTGGCAAGCTACCATATCAGAGATTTTGATCAGTCACAAGAACAATTTGAGCGACTAGCCCATCAGGATCCGAATCGAATAGAGAGCATGGATGTGTATTCAAACGTGCTGTACGTTAAGGAGGACAAAATAGAGCTCAGTCGATTAGCTCATCGGGCGTTAAAGGTGGCGAAATATCGACCAGAGACATGCTGCATCATTGGAAATTACTATTCTCTTAAAAACAAACACGATCGCGCAGTCATCTACTTCCATCGCGCTTTAAAATTAGACCCAAATTTTCTTTCGGCCTGGACTCTCATTGGGCACGAGTATATTGAGATGAAGAACACAAGTGCAGCTATTGAAGCCTATCGTCACGCTGTTGATCTCAATGCACGAGATTATCGTGCATGGTATGGGCTAGGACAGGCCTACGAGATTCTCAACATGTTTTTGTACAGTATCTACTATTATCGCAAATCGGTGGCTATTCGCCCCTACGATGCACGTATGTGGTGCGCTTTGGGTGGCTGCTATGAAAAGCTGGACAAAGTGGATGAAGCTCTTGCGTGCTTTCATCGTGCCGTCAATAACCAGGATCGCGAAGGCATCGCTTCGTTTCACCTCGGTCGTCTATATGCAGCAAGTGGTCGACCACACGAAGCTGCCAAGTTCTACTTGATGCATCTTGGTCTTCGAAGTATTGAAGCATCAGCTTTTGAGGATGTTGATGAGAAGATTAAGCCTGTCGGGTCTGATGACACTGCGGAACAACAGCAGGAAATTCTCGTGCTTCCTGCCGGCAGTTGTGAAAATATACGCGTTGACACTCCTCAGTCATTAACAGCAATACTTTTTCTTGCTAGTTTTTTTAAACAGCTGGGAAAGTATACCGAAGCGACAATTTTTTGCAACCGTCTGTTAGACATGCAAGGACCTGAAAGAGAGGAAGCCAAAGCTCTTTTGCGCGAAATACATAGCCTCATGGCGACTTTGATATGACACTAAATAGGTGACGGTATTTCTCAATAGCTGCAATTATTTTATTATTCGTTGGCCGCAAAGCGACAGTGGTATACCCACGTCTTCGGGTGATGTCGCTCTGACAAAATAAAATGGCGCGTCAGTTTGCCGTTTCTGTGATTGAGTGCCGTTTGGTCATGTTCGCTCACATCGCTATCAGATGAACCCAGTGCCAGCCAAGATAACTCCAAACTACGAGCAAATGCGCTAAAGTATGCCCGGACATCCTCGTATGCGGTGCTTTGGTTCTCGATCAGGACATGACACTCCAATATGAGTTCTCGCACATTCTTCATGTTTAAAAAGCAATATTTATAGTCTGGATGAACCTGACTAGCGTCGCTAATGAGCCCAACTACCAACATCATTTTTTCCATTCTGTGAAAATTGGTATTCGATAAAAGCTCTCCAATTGCATGCCCTGTTAGATACAGCTGTGGCATATGCACTGACAAAGTCTCACATTCGTGCAAACCGCTTTCTAATAAAGTAGCCATGGACAGAGCCATCCCGTGAAAGATGGCACTGCAAGAGTAATACTTGAGTCGACATGATCTTAAGGCGGCGTAGTCGGAAATGCTAGTGATTGCTTGTGCAACTAATTTGTCCATTTGGTTGCCAGCTTCGTGTTCGCCTGTGACAGTCACTGCTACATCAAGGTGCAATATCCGAGCAAAGCCACCTCGCAGCTCATCAGATAAAACCCCGAGCAATTTTTTTGAGTGCACGTCACTACTGGAAGACCAGTTCATGGTGATCACATTCTGGAGCTTCCACACGTCATAGGCTTCGACTTCTGTACTGTCAGTCCTACTGGCACTCATGATTGCAGGGCTAGACATTCTATACAGATCGAATTTTTGTAAAGTGCTTTCAGGCGTGAAAAGAGCATCAAGCCAGCGCTTTTCAATGGCATTTGATCCAAAATTTAGTCGTAAAAGTCGAGTGCTAGCATCCGCTAGAGCGCAGCGAACGCTTTCCTTTATCGCGTCTTGATCGTTTGAGGTAAATGATACGTCTAATAATGAACTCAATTCCGGAAAGCAGGACTCCAATGATAATTCTTCAAGACTTCGAAGGCTACAGAGCAGTGATCGAAGCAGAGCCGCACCTTCAAACCACAGAGTATTGAACGAAATGTCAAGCGTCTTCAATTGTGTAAGCGCTGGCAGGGAGTCAAGAGAAGAACTGGATTCACCAATCAGGATGCGCATGAGGGCAGGGACATCAGCACGCATAGGTACAGCGATGCCACGGAGGCTAAGTCGCTCAATACTTTGACGAAGCAACTGCACTTGTAGCAATTTGCATATCACTTGGAATGCTGCAGCGTTAAAAAAGCCACACGACACATCGAGCTCTTTTACAGGAGGCAAGCCAGGTGTGGAAAATATGTCCACCAAAATCTGGAGATCTTCGGCTGAATAGAATCCGATGCTAGACAGAATCAAATAGTGTGATCCATTTTTTACATCCAACAGTGCACTAATGTGTTGCTTTAATATGATGCTCTTACCTTGGCACTGATCGGACAAAAAGCGTATACTAGATGTCAGTCTATGGACGTGTTTTTCTTGTCTTTTACACTTACCATTTTCTGGTAAATAGATCGTGCTGATAGTGGCGCAATTTGACCACCCACGACACAGCTGATAGTTTGTCCTCGAATAAAGTTGCGCCGAGCTAGTTCACTTGTATCATGTGTGAGTGCTTGACGTTTCTCTTCATGTGTCAATGATTCAAACCCCATTCTGCGTTTTATATCCACAACATTTACATCCTCCACTCTTCCAGGTTCAGCGGTCTCGGCAGCTCCAATCGTAAATGGATTGTTAACATGAGGACTTCCTGACTTGAGACAAAACGTCGTCCACGGTTCTGCGTCTATCTCACAATAACAATTTTTGGGACCGAAACATCTTCGAGCGACCTTTGCTAGAATTGTAGCGGGGCCATTCGAGTCTCTAAGCAGGAGCATTTTTTGGAAAGGATCTTCCCCTGTCACGTCAACTCGATCGTAAAAGACACTGCTTTGTCTTTGAAAGTTCTCAAGGCATTGCGATACACCCTTATCGGCTAATCCAACCACGTCCCTATCCAGGATGTCCATTCTTCTGAACCATTCATCTAGCATACTCTCTTTAATCACCTTTCTTTCTTCCATCAGCTGCAAAATGGCATTACCGTCGTCAATGCCCAGGCCTGTTTCACATCATCACAATGAGACACAGAGTAACATGACGTTTTATCCAACGCACAGCGAGGCCTCAATAGAATCCTTTAACTAACCTGTGTGCACAGCTCCTTCAATACCGGTTTTGTGCATACACGGATATGTAAATTGTTGCACAGTACGGTGACGAATTTCACCACGACGGATGTGGATACCTATGTCTACAACACGCAAATACTGGTACGATATTAAAAATATTGATGGCGAGCGCGCCTAAAGGACGGTGGCGCACCATGTTGAACCACTCCACTGCCGATTGCGTCGTCAAATTTGGCTGTATATAATTCTTTAGCTGCTTGATTGCATCGCTGTACACTACTGTCATTCGTTCGATCTCTGCGAATGCAGACTGAAGGTGCGCTAACATTTGCTGGCGCTCTTTCCGCACCATGGAAATACACGGAAATACACACAAAATACTTGTATGCTCGTTTATTTGCACATACTGGAAAAATTATCGCACTATGTATAGTCTGATGATTATTATGTAAGAAAGACAATGCGCTCAATTTTAAGTTGCATTTACATGCCCACGATTGGGCACTTTATTCATGAATTATTGTCCAACCCGAAGTCAATCAGTAAGCGAGTCATTTTTTTCTTCTGTAGAATTTAGTGACTAATGCTGGATTACATGTTGTCTTCCTTCATTATGCCCTGGTTTTCGCTAGGTATAATAAGATTTCTTCCGACTGAGCCGTTGGCTTTATGCTCAATCAGGGATGAACTCACGATGGTGTCCAGCTCATCACCAACGAACTGGACCTGGCTAAAAAAAGTCTAGCTCTCTCAACTGCAAGCGCAATAGTCACGCCGACATCCGCCTAAAGCATCATGCTGGGATTACAATCCGGAGACTAAGGCCGAGTCTTTACACACCTGTGGGTATCATCCCACCCGTCGTAAGACTTTGCAAGCCAGCTTCAGCGAAGTGGGCGCTCACTAGCCCAATGGCCCTTGTCTGACTTTGTGAAATACAAAGTATGACGCGGACGTGGAGGACCCCCATTATTTAATGTTTACAGCCCCATTTTGAGAATCTCAACACGCTTTCATGGCGGAGATGAGTCGAATGTTCTTCGAACATTGCCATTGTAGTGCATAACTTCTGCGTTTATGAACCTCGTTGCTGCTTTGAACCAGAAGACAGCTTCGCTGCAGGGGCTACACGTCTGCAACGAAGTTCGTCACATTCAGCCGAATTGCAAGAGGTGTGTAAAGGTTTGGCTTGGGTACGCCCACAAGGTCCCAGAAGTACTTTTCAGTTCTCGTTAAGATGTTAATAAATAATTTCTTTTTTCACTACGACCGGGAGTAGTCTGAGTGCGGTTACAACTTAGTCTTACAGATCGCAGACAGGCAGGTTAATTGCTGCCATGAAATCTTTTGACCCTCACTATAGTAATTTGTGGCTCTCCTGCATCTAACATCAAAGTGTTGCCTTTTATTCTCCGGATGTAACGTGGTTACACGTAATCCTGTAAAAATGGACGGGTCACAACATTATGTGTGACCCGTCCATTTTTACAGGAATACGTGCAACGGGCTGCCAGTTGTTATGCATTTAACAAGTTTTTACTATTTAATCAGAAAATCCTATATATTAAGATATAGGCAGTTTTGCCGCGAATGAAAGAAAGAAATACAGTACAAATTTTGAACGAAAGAGTTTATTTGCCTTAGGTTATGGTTTTAGATACTCTAAGAGTTAGCGGATTGCGATCCGCTACACTCATTCTGGTTCTAACTATAGAACGAAGGTCAATGACCCTAGCTTAGCTTCCTGTAAGCGAAAGAGCTACGCTGCCTATAATAGCACTTGTAGTCAATCTAAACCTGTGTCGCTACTACTGACCCTCTAAGAGCATGGAACAGTTCTCTAATTTACCTTATGGCACGCAGGGCGGTCTTAGAAAGCTGATGTCTCTGCTTGGGCCTGAGGGCGTGCAACACCTCGCTCACAGGGACCTGAAGGGATCAGCGCGCGCCTAGAGGCGTTTTCGAGCTATGAAGATGTTCTGCTAGAGCATTTAGATCAGAGGATGTCGGCGTGACTGCGTCCATGACGCCACTATCGACGACGGATGACTCTTCTCGACCCAGTCCGCTCATGGTGAACGTTAAGACCTTCGAGGGAAAGGATGGGGAGAATCTCCTGCTCTAGGTGAGAGAGGCTGATATGGCTATTGCATCCGCCATGCTCCAGACCGATCAACAGCGCGTAGTGCTAGCTATCTCCAAGCTCGGTGGTCGAGCGCGAGAATAGGCACTGACGTGCGGCAATTTGGTTGAAGCGGAATTTCTCTCCTGGACGAAGCTGAAGCTGCAGTGGAGTGGCACGTTATCCTTTGGACGAGGACTGCAGAAATAGCAGCTCTTCGTCGGA